CAGTTTGGGATAAGAAAACATTGGATGTGCTTTGTAATCACTAAGCACAATGTACATGGTATATGTATAACGCAACTGAGGGGAGGAAAAAAATAATAAATAAAAAACCACCACACACAGAACATTGTGCATTCACTCCAGTGAAAAATATACAAGCTCCATGAACGAAGTCAGACATAAAGACCCTTCTGGTCACGATGTAATCGCTGTTTTATAACATAAAACAAATACTTGATTTTGTCTGTTTGCTTTTGACTTTGAAGTACTAAACAGTTTTCAACAGTTCGTGTTACTTTAAAATTGTGTGTGGACATGTGCTCTTTAGAAGAAGTGGGTGGCTCTGAGAAGAGCCTTTTTTTGGGTGCAGTAGAGCTGCCGTTTACTTGGAGCTGGTGTACTTGGTCACGGCCTTGGTGCCCTCGGACACAGCGTGCTTGGCCAGCTCACCGGGCAGCAGGAGGCGCACGGCGGTCTGGATCTCCCTGGAGGTGATGGTGGAGCGCTTGTTGTAGTGAGCCAGGCGGGAGGCCTCAGAGGCGATGCGCTCAAAGATGTCGTTAACAAACGAGTTCATGATGCTCATGGCCTTGGAGGAGATACCGGTGTCGGGGTGCACCTGCTTCAGCACCTTGTAAACGTAGATGGCGTAGCTCTCCTTCCTGGTCTTTCTCTTCTTTTTGCCGCCCTTGCCGGCGGTTTTAGTCACGGCTTTCTTGGAGCCCTTCTTGGGCGCGGACTTAGCGGGTTCAGGCATTTTCTTTCTTTGCTATGTCACAGCAGAGAATGTGCCCGTCAGCGCAGAGCGGCTCTCTTTTATTTCCGCTGTATGCAAATAAGGCTGTGCAGATCCCCGCCTGTCATTGGTCGAGGCTCTGCCTTTGGTCGAAAGATTGGGCGTGCCGTGTAAACACGGAAGACCAAAAAGGAAAGCTGGAAGTTTCTGATTTGTAAGACTTCAAAAAAGATAAAAGTCCACCCCCCTCCTTCAATCAGTTCAATTAATCAGTTAAATGTGGCGCCCTGTCATAAAAATTTAATTTCTATTAATTTTGAAAGCTTACAGTTTGCATATGATCTCATCACCAAGTGTTAAACATTTGTTGAACATTTTACGTCCTGTGCATGACAATGCAAAGGTTGATTCTCAGTCTTTTAATATAAATAAACAAATACATAAATAAAAAAAAATGTAAACCTGTGCCACTGATACTGTTACTGCTGTACATTTGCTCTGAAGAAGTGACCAGAGGAAAGAAGATGAAAGCATCAAGTAACCTCCAGCGTTCTGGTTTGAATCCCAGTTCCGAGCTTCAGCATTGTCATAAGCATCATAAACAACTCAAATAAACATACGTTTAAACTTAGTTCCACACAATCTGTAGCCCCATCCTGAGACCGACCAACACCCTGACCAGGGTTCCTTTGTCTGAGGTGTGATAGCTGAGAATGAATGAATGGCTTTTGCAGGCTGAAGAACAGCACTCACTGCATCTGTACATTTATTCTTTGTGGGGGAGCTGCACAGCTGACACAGAGAAACAGACACCCTCATTCACAGCTACAGTCAATCTAGAATCACCAATTAAACTAACCAGTGTTTGGACTGCGGGATGCAACAACGGGGAGAACATGCAATTGCTGAAAGAAAAACAGCAGGTAGATGGATTAAAACTCAGAAACATCCCGTGAGGCAACATTGCAAACCACAATATTACAAGTACTGCTTTAATTAATGCTATAGGAACAATAATCCATGCATTCACCAAATCCATGTGTGAAGTCTGTGGATAACACCACTGGTCTCTGTAACTACAGATAGGGATACCAGCACTGTACCCAACGGTGTTCAGAAAACAACCAAGGAGGTCACTGTATAGACTATTTCCCTGTAAACAATGAATGTTTATTCATTTTTTTGTGTGTTTGTTTTAATTAATGTCTGGTTTCAAGCCAAGAACTATTTTTGTTAATTGAAAAGCACAATAACAATAACCTTGATAATACATACATATATATATATATAAATAATAATTTCCCCACTCGCCCCTGCGGGCGGTTTATCCTTCAAGCTCGGGTCCTCTACCAGAGGCCTGGGAGCTTGAGGGTCCTGCGCAGTAACTCT